TTGAAATTCTTAACGTTAGTGGTTTACAGACCAGGATCGAACCAGGCAGATACGAGCTGTTGCCAAAGATTTGCCGGGATTCGCAATGCCAATGGCACACAATTGAAGACCTTTGGAACTTCCACATTACACGACTCGAACGTTCCACATTTTCGTTCTGGTTGATATAAAAGTTAGCAAATGGATTAATATTGATTATAAAATAATTATTAAATCTAAATATAGTGAATATATATAGTGAATGTCAACAATTGAAGAGGACGAATGACAATTCGTATAATGATAAAGAAATCATGAAGAAAAACTTCCAATCTTTGGGTTTTATTTCAAAACTATAATCAGGCGAATAAGAGTAATATAACATGGATGTAAAAATACTGATTAAAGTTCTAAGGACTCCATGTCCTGGTTAACAATTCCTTTTCCAAATCTTTCAGACGGATATGTTTATTAGGCAAGGAAAAAGGGCGCCCTGCGTCAGGCCCCTACGGGGAGGAATCATCAAACATARCAATAGATTCCAACTTGTCTTGGCCCCTGGGAATCGCCGTCTGGTGTGYATTTATAGACAACGTAATGCTTGATCTTAGTTCTTTTCAGGGTATACAGCTAATTAAAGATAGTGTATTACAAGAGCGAAATATAATGCCATCTTGTCCGTGTCACTGGAAAAAATCGCGCGCTTTAAAGGTTGTAAATTTGATGTAAATATGATGTAAGTGCATGTCCAAAATTCTGTAAATTTGATGTAAATGATTTCCATTAAACTTACATAATTTTTTCCATTGTGTTGTGGTCAAGCACTCCCAAGGAAAGCAATTCAATTTAGAATTACCATTTTGTAACGCARCAAACTCGAAATTAACTAAATCTCTTGATAATGTCCTGAGTCACATGCTGTAATCGACTGCCTATTTTTTTCCATTGTTTTTGCTTTTVGACTTCACTCTCTCATCCCAAACTCTTTTCAGGGGAGAGGAGAGAGGAGCGAAAAGTCACCCAAAGCCAGGCTACCTAGCACAAACAATATGGCCGCCCAACAGTGGTAAGTGTACCCAATGTCTCCGCAAATTCCAGCTTAACAAGTTAAACTTCTCAGAGTAAATCCATATCTATTGCGTTATTTAATTATATCATGAGCTAATGTTATAGCTGCTTGACCTGAGCTGAATTTATCGAAGGGGATTCTTGGTTATCGTGAATCAAAGCTCCTCCCGTCAGCTAAGAAGTCATGTGATTAGTGATCTTTGCGTCTTTAATCTTTGCTGAAAGTCTGCACTCAATCGGTTATTCAGCTACAAAAGTGTTTGATGTCAAAAAATCATGAATCTAAGCTGACRCAAAAACTTGTAATTTTTGAAGTGTTTRGGATATTCGATATTTTAAATAATTGTTATTGGTGTGCAATGTTTTAGGGTCGCGAGAGGAAGACATTATGAAAAAGAGAAAATTACCTTACCATCTGAACCAGTGCAGGAGCATCCACTAAAACTTGGACAGATTATTGTAAATATATTTATTATTATAAGTAATATAATACAAATGCTATGCAAAGGTTAATGTAAGTTTATCCCTTCCTTCCAAGCAGAACCCATTTCAACTCAACCAGTTAACTTTCTGTCAACTTTAATCTGTTTTTTTTTTTCATTTAACTGATGAATATAGTGTTTCCTGATGAATATTTATTAGTTATTCTGTAGCCCATGGAATGTAATCATTGCTATTTTTCACTAAATTTCTGCTGACATATCACCTCAATTAACATTGAATATGAGACATGCCATGTAAAATTGAGTACATATAATAYGTTCTGTTGGTTGTAGTCAGTTGATAAAGGTCAGAAAGACAAAGCTAAGAAGCAAGAGCAATCAGGACCACCTTCAGTTGACCCTTTGTCAATAACTAACTCAGGGGATGCTTTTGATGGCCTGGATCCTTTATCCATGTTTATGGCAGAACAAGCAGCAAGCAAAACAGTCCCTACGTCTGGTCCTCAAAGACAAAGGGTAGGTTAGAGCGAATTTCATATGAGTGAGAAACGGACAGTACTGTACTGTGACCATAATTGTACTGTAACCAAATTCTAGTTCCCCATTGGTTCACCAAAATTGTGCAGGCCAGGTGCGGTAACTGTGCGGTAACTATGCGGTAACGGTGTCCCACTCATACGAAATCCGCTCTATGCTGGTAGCTGTTTTAAGTTATCAATAAAATGGCATTTATTAATAAAGGAAGATTTCTCACAAACTGTACTGCTGTATACAATAGGTTGAATCCTTGAGCAGTGTCTCAGAAGCTGATGGCATTGATAGAGACACTTTTGAACCATGGGCTAGTAAACGAACTAACATTTTAACGAAGTACACAACATCAGAGAAGCTGTCAATCACTACTGTGAGTATATGGTTTGACAATATAATGTCTGTTTGACGAGAGGAAAACAATGATTGTAGACATTGAAAGTTAGCCTTGAACAGCATACAATGTAGTAGAATGATATAGAAAAGTACGTATACTGTATGTATCCCAAGCTGATGAGTGAAGATAGTGATTGTAATTTTGATGATGATGATGATGACTGTACACCTTGTATGCCTAATATGAACAGGTTTTGATTTTATTTTTTTTTATGCGCATTTTGAAGACCTATTTTATTTTTTTCTTAGAGTTTCCTATCTTCATCTGACAAGGACAAAAGTAAGTAAATCATGGAAATATAATTCTAAGTGATTATTTCTTTGCAATTATTTATGTTAATGATTGTGTCTGAACAAATCCTTTATTTGAATAGCATAGAAATTCCACCTATATTTTTTTTATTTTTAGTCGTGATTAAACAGCAAACGTCTGTCACTGACAAAGTCAAGCATCGTCTTGAACAGCTGGATGACTTTGAAGAAGTGAGGGGAATTTTCCTATTATGATATTAAGTAATTTTGCCAATTTAGACTGTGTGTATTAGGTGTAATATTATATGTGCATGTGTAAGCATGTCATGCAAGCTTTTTCCCAGTTTATTGGAGATGGAATAGGTTCCTGTCATGTCTGTATCTAGAATGGCTRCCAKCATGTATATTTTTGATAGGGTTCAGTGAAGGAAATGCTTAACCTGAGTCAACAAGATTATGTCAAACGAATTGAGGAGCTTAATCAGGTAATTTAAATAGTATTGTAATATTGCTTGTAATATTACTATTTACTTGAGTTTATTAAAAAATAATGAATCAACTGTAGTAAATATATTCTTTATTAAGTGAACAATATTTTGGTTTATAGGCTTTGATTGCTGCATGGGAAGGTGATCAGAGAGTGAAAGCTTTGAAAATTGCAATCCAAGTAGGTGTCTGTAATTATTCATTTACAGCAGAAACCGTTGCATCGCGACTTCAATGTTCAAAGAAAATACTTGGGATTTAGGTTTTTCTGCGACTTGGGGGCAGAGCTTGATACTAATCAGCCAATGATTGAACAAGTTTTCGAAAAGCTCCGCCCCTCAGATTGAAAGAGAGAACAAAATCCAGACAAACTTCAAAACAAAGAGGTCGCGATGCAACGATTTCTGCTGTAATAAATAAAGTACATAGAACATGGCATTCACAAAATCAGTTTGTATTAAATTTGTTTGTTTTTGTTTTCTCAAGTGTGCAAAGCTTCTTTCYGACATCCAAGTTATTCAGTTTTATCCCAGTAAATTTGTTCTTGTGACAGATATTCTTGATACTTTTGGTAAGTTATTATTGCAATAATATACTTTAATAGCAAAATCTATTTTTTCAACARCATACAACACTGAATAATGTGCCTTTTGAATTTGCAGGGAGATTGGTTTATGAAAGACTTTTTAGGAAATCTGCCACGTTTACGCCTGGAAGTAATGTTCCTGTAATGCTCCCAGGTTAGCCAGGAATTGTTTTCTGATCATTGAGCTACTGTTTAGATTTAATTCTTGTATGGATTGTTGCTTATTCTGTAACTTAAATCCTAGAAAACTTTACTGCTGATCAAGTGCCAGATTCTGCCAAGGAAACATGTCGCAACTGGTTTTTCAAGATTGCATCTATCAGGGAACTTATCCCAAGATTGTATCCTACATGTATACTGTATAACGTTACATTCAAATCATGTTATGGGTTGCCTGTGTTAATATCAATCTTTGTGTGCAACTGCATGACAAAAAATCCTTTGTGAAAATGCAGCAAATAACAAAGCCATCAATGCTATTGTATACATCCTACATGGTGCTGCATCAAGAATTGAAGTCAAAAGGTTCTGGYCAATTCTTTCCTTAAATCTGTTATTCAGCTTTGTTGAGACAGCCATCCTGAAGTGCTACAATTTCCTAACTCAAGGGTAAGTCATCACTTGTTATGCTTAAAACTCTGTCGTCAGATTATCTTCCTTGTTATCCTTCTTTGTAAAAACAGTCTAGGACAAAGTTAGTTAACTAAGGGATGGTTCACATTGGTTCTGTCACCATAGAATGTAACATTGATCAAAATTAGATTCTTGTTAGTTTTTCAGAGTGTATGTAACAYATAGTCAAAGTGAATTTGAACTGTTTTTTGTCAGGGAGTTTTCTCAAGCTCTTATAAGGCTAACTAAGATGATTAGAGGGATTGGTGACCCCCTTGTGGCTATTTATGCAAGGTGCTACATTTGTAGAGTAAGTACAGTAACTGCAATRTGGGCGGSCTGTGGCAAGGGACTCCTATAGCTCCATGGGCAGTGTTTTAGTTACTGTAAGCTCACATTATGAGTGGTCCATTGTAAGACAGTGAGAGGTARAAAGAGAGAGATGAAAATGATCTGTCCTTGTCAGAATTAGGAACTTCCCTTAGTAAAGAACTAGATTTCTTGATATATTATTAAATTATTGAATTGATAAAATTGTCTGGAAATTAAATTAAAATCAGTTTTGAATTCACCAACTTCTCAATGAAAATRGAGTAAATTCATTTACATGCTACTTAATCAATACAACTTGTTATTGGACAGGTTGGCATTCTGGTTGCACCCAACGTCAAAGAACATCTTTTAGAAAATTTGTATAGCTTTATTACATGCTACAAGCAGGTAGGTTGTAGATAAAATTGTCAATTTGATAAGATACAATAAAGAAATATTAAATGCTTACGTGATTGTACAATGTTGTGTGTTTCATTTCAGTTGCAAAGTGATTCTGTTCAAAACACCTTAGCAACTCAAAGACTTGGTGAGCTGTTGCTTATAAATACTTTTCTTTTAAAGTTAGTGTGTTTACTTATTTCTCAAACCTTTCCTTTATAGAAATGCAACAATATCTTCAACTGTTTCCCCCTGCTTTAGACTGGATTTTACAATGTGTTGCCCATAAAACATCTGAGGTAACTCTTAAGTAAAATTCTTTTAATTCTCTAGGTATTCTTTCTGATTATATTGAGTGTTCAAAAGTCGTTTTTTTTTTTCATTTTTTTTTCATTTTTATGATTTGTTGAAAGAATCATGACATATTCATCTGCATGTTATAATAATTGACTTTACTTTTCAGAATAATTGTTAAGGTTAATTATATACAGCCTTTTGCAAAAATTATGAGAATTGTCTAAATATCTAAATATCATAATATCCATATCCATATATTGTCCGGAACACGCGGGTTTGCTAGAATAATTCATTGTTGACATCGAGAAAGTGTTCAGAACTACGGATAAGTCTGTYGCCAAAAAAAAACTAAACAACAAAGACAAGGGACTAAGGGCATCGCGTGGGATCATGCACTTGATATTATGATATTTAGATATTTCAACAATTCTCATAATTTTTGAAAAAGGCTGTACATGTACAGTACATGTAAGATCTTGTATTAGAGTCGTTTTCATAGGCACATGAAATATACAGTACTATTAGTCATTACTCTTATGCACGTTTTTCTGTCTTTTCGCTTATCACACTGAATTACACTATGACCAGTACTCTTTGTTTCTTGAAGTATACTGAAAAGCACCCTTTATGATTGTTTTCTTTTTTATCTTATGGGGTCTATTTAGACTGCTCTAACAGACATTCTCAACCGATGTAAAGAAGAATGCAACAGGTCAGTCTATTAAGTGTTTGTTCACTGAAGGTCTAGGGTACTTGCACTACATGTTGACCAATAAGCCTTAAATAATATCTCACTAATATTATTTTTATTATATTATATTCCAGTGCACTGTTGTTGAACTCCATTGTCCTGGCTTTCCAGCCTCAGTTCATATCCAAACGGTACGATCTTGAGGAGATTAACAATTGTCAATCAACTTAATATGATGGCAACCAAATAATCAGAATTTTTTTTCTAATATAGAGCTGGAGCTCGCGTCATACCAGTTCTTTCGCATGCTTTATTATATAATTGCAGAACAAATTAACCACTTATAAAAATAGCGTGTCTCCCTACCAATTATCAGATTTTAACTCCAAATGCTGCTGAAAAGAGTTGACAAGGGAAATATTTTTCTTCTGTTAGAGCTCTACAGTTTACAGAACTGATAAGGAACTGTGAAGAAGCTGGCTTCCCAAAGGTTTGAAGACCAAATCTGTATAATATTGTTTTATTGTTAACTAATATTCCTGGAATATAATTATCTGTCTGTCCGGAGTATCTGTATGCAAAATAAAATTTGTGATTAATGAAAATAAAGCATTTTTTTCCTTTTTTAGCATCATTTGTACAGATCTCTTGGGCTGAATCTGATCATTTGTGATCCTCCAGAAGACCAGAGACTTTCAATACTCAGTGAGGTTAGTTCTTTTATAATTATATACAAACTAATAAAGAAAGGCGATCAGCAAAATATCCTTCGTTGCAGCCGCAATCCTGGATCCCAGGAAAAAAAGATAAAAGTAAAATAAAATAAAATGAAATAAACAAAATGAAATAAAAAAAATTAAAAAAAAATAAAATTAATAAATAAATAAAAAATAATCAGCACAAATGGCAGACTAGTGACGTAAACACCGTTTATGTGATTTTGTCTSCTTCTGATACGATTTACAGCACAGAAAATACAAAATGTAAAAGARTATTTATTTATGAATAAATCTTTTCCCTTTTCCTTTGAAGGTGTGGAAAGTTGTAATGAAACTGAAGAATGCCGGGGTGAGTATGAGATAATTAGTGCACTGTAATAACACCAAACTAGCAGAAGAAAAAATAAGTCGAAAGCATAAAAAGATAGACAGGGAGTAGGAAGAAAAAAGGAAAAAAGAGAAAATAAGAGATAGCAGGTTTATGAAAATATTTAGATTCGCCTATTTCACAGAGAAATACATTTGTACGTTGCAAAAGGAGTAAATAAAAAAGACGGAAAAATGCGTTCAGACGCAGTGATCTTCTTTTGTTTCTTTTCGGTTTTTATTTATTCCATTTAAGTACAAATGTTTTTTTTTTTCTTTAACAACGTTTTCCAATTAGCTGTATTTAAACATATTCTTAAGACTTTGCACCGTCATACCATGCCAGTATTGAACTATTGTTCAAACGACCTGTTAAATATTTCATCAGTCCTATTGATCGCGGAATAACTTTACCCAGAAGTCATAAAGCGCTTCCTAGAATCGCAATGGCAGCGCTTAATAGTTTCACCGATGAATTAGAATCACAGTTAACATGTGTTATCTGTAATGAAATCCTGACTGAGCCAAAGACACTGCCATGCTTGCATACGTTCTGCTATAAATGTATCGAAAGTTGGAACCAGACTTGCCAAAAACAAATGAAGACGCTAAGATGTCCAACTTGTAGAGCAGAAGTAAACGTGGACGGCGAAGACGTCACCAAACTTCCTTCGTCCTTTACGTACAATTCGCTTCTTCAGCTATTCAACTTCATGAAGATAAAAACTGACGAATGTAACCAGCAACAGCTTCCAGAATGTGTAAGCTGCCTGGAACGAAGCGTATTGGTTGGATTTTGCCCTCAATGCGAAGGAATGATTTGTGATGAATGTATCAACAACCACAAGACAATAAACCCATTGAAAAGAACCCATGACGCAACGCTGTGGAGCGAATTTAAGATGCGAAATGTGAACAGCTACATCAGCAACCAAGCATTTTGTAAAGAAAAATTTCACCAGAAATGTCACCTTGATTATCATTGCCAAACTTGCAGAAAGTGCATTTGCCAAAAATGTGCAGCAACCGCACACAGCAGCCATGAGAAGATCAGCGTCGAAGAGGCTGCTGAAAATGCCAAAAAGCTCATCAGAAAAGACAAAGAAGAACTAAATGGATTGCTCATCAAATACATGAAAGAGTTTGAATTGTCAAATAAAAATATGAGAAGGATTCAAAGCGAGGTTGATGCAGCAAAGACAAATATACGCAAGAACACACAAGCTCTGATAAAGACTCTACAAGACCAAGAAGACGCTTTGATTTCTAACTTAGAAGCTATCGTTGTGGAACAAACAATAGCAAATGAAGAGGAGAAAAATGAGATCGAAGCTAAAATCGAACAGGTCACTGAACTGAAGAATCAGTGTGAAAAAATGGAAGATGAATACCTCCAATTTATATTAGATAGCTTTGAAAATCTACGAGACGTTTGTAAAACTACATTGCAAAACAAATCTATCTTATCAACCCAACCAGTCAAGCGAAACTTAACCGTGCGTTACATTCCAAACCCGGAAGTCAACATCGTTATGCAAAACGTAAATGTCGGCAAGTTAGTGGAAAGCGTGACAGACCCGTCACGTTGTTCTATGGAATTTGTAAGTAACGCCAGATGCGGTTTTATCAATTGGTTTCTCATCGTTACAAGAGATTCTGAAGGGAATGTGTGCTATACCAGTAAAGACTCCATTGATGTACAAATCCAAGATGGCGATAAAAACGACGTGCAGAAAGAACTAATTGAAACTGAAACTGGAAAATTTCAAGTGAAGTATGAAGCAGAGAAACCTTCACCGTACAAAATAGTGGTGAGAATCGGAGGAAAAGAGATCAAAAACTCACCGCAGAACATTGATGCAGTCGATGCTAAAGCAGAGTTTAAACCATTGAGGGTAATCGATGTCAAGGAGATTTCCAGGCCGATTTCACTTAGTCTAAGTGAGAGGGGAGACATAGCTGTGCTTAATAATGATCACAATAAAACGGAATTCCGCGTTGTATTGTTCAATGCTGATGGAGAGTATTTACGAACGATTGGTGGTGTAGGATCAGGAGACGGTCAGCTGAGCAACCCACATGCAGTAGTCTTCAGTGAAGACAAAATATTGGTCAGCGATAATCCACACAATGGCGGCTGTATTAAGGAGTTTGACATCGACGGCACCTACAAAAGAACCTTTTGCAAACAACCTAAAAGGGTGTATCTAACCGCAATGTGCACAGCTAATGAAATGATCGCATGTTTGAGGTATAATAGTAGTACTAAAGAGACATGTATAAAACTAATTGATAAAGACAATTGTGATCAACTTCATGACATTAGACTGAACGTCCCTAATGATCGTCATAAGCAGCCACTATTTATGACCTATGATAACAAGAAGTTCTTTTTATCGTTTATGGGCCGGCAAACCGTATATGTTTTCGATGACAATGGCAGGCTGTTGTCTATATTTGGAAAGCAAGGTAACCAAGAAGGTCAGTTTGATGCTGTTCGTGGACTTACCGTGTTTGGTGAAGACATGCTCCTTGTCTGTGATCTAAATAATCAGCGCGTGCAAGTCTTTAATCAGGACGGTGATTTCATAAGTTCCTTTGGTAGTTATGGTTCAGGTCTTGGTCAGATGAATGGTCCTTTCGATGTTACTGTTCAAGGTGGAAGAGTATTTGTGCTTGAACGTGATGGCAAGCGAGTGCAAGTTTGGAGCTGAGATCTGATGATTTTCATGCACTTCATAGATAGAAGCTTTATCGACGAAACAACTACTAACTATTCAACGCTCAATTGTACATAATTGTATTGACCTATAGTAACTGTACCTTTGTATTCTTTGTACTTTAATAACTAGAAACAAAACCTCTTTCTCTGGCAATTTAATACAGTTTAAGAATCTAATTCATCATGCCTGTGAAGTTGTCTTTATAGCTTAAAATCATTATCACGCATTTATTCGCATTTATTCGCATTTATTCTTGAATGTATTAAAATAAAATAAATCAATGTATGTCAGGAGATTGACATCGCGCGCCGTATCCCATGTAGACCTACGTTTTTTCCTTGCCCTGCATCCTACCTTATCGGATTAATTTTCAAGGTCTTGACGGACTGATGAGAATACAAATTTATTTAGTGAAACAGTTCCGTAGACTACTGTTTAGTAAAAACATTTTCTATAATCTGTATGAAAACATCTCTTATACATGATGGACCACGTGACTGTTCTCTCTCCGTTAATTCTCCGATTGTTTCCAGGTTACTATCGATTACTGTTTGGTGTACCTGCCCACTGGGGGGATAATTCGGTCCCTGCTATAGACCCCTTGCATGTGACGTCAAAGCAGCTTCATCTGGAGGACAAAACAAAAGATTATTAACCTCTTGGGAACTAGAATCCATTGTTTTGTCCTCCAGTTGGAGCTGCATTCCCATGAACTGCAAGGGGTCTATACTACTACTGACTATTGATGTAACTTTCTTTGCAGGAATACATTAACTGTGCCGAAGTATGGATAGAATACCCATGCAAGCACTTTACGGTAATTACCTACCTCGTTCCCAGTCTTTCTTTGTCATATCGTAAGGCATCAAGGGAAGGAGTAAAAGCAAGGCGACCTCTACATCTCAGTTCCTCTTTTGCTTCCCCACGAAACATTGCGAGTGAAGAGACAAACAACTGGGAACGAGCCAGCTTACGGCGATATGGGGAAAAGTTTGTTAAATTATTATTCATTATTTGTCGATGTTTTTTCCGAGAAAGTTTTAAAAAACTGYGTCCATACATGTTTACGACATAAACCGGAAGTAACTTAGGAATTGAAAAATCTATTCTTTTTGAATTTAACAAGTAGCAAGAAAATATACTTTGCCTACAGACAAAGAATTGTTTTTGAATCCAGGTGAATAGAATCCTGGATATTTGCTATCTAAACTCCTTCAGGGATCTTAGGCCTTGTTTCCATTCCTTTTTTTCTATTGTTTTCAATTCACTTCCGGCTTACGTCGTAAGCATCTATTTCTCCATACKAGTTGGGAATTTTAGCTGAGCTTTCTATAGGGTTGAATTGGTAGGACAAACTCACGAAATACCTACGAAAATCCTGATGGTCGTGAATATTATTCTTTATTGTCTTTTTGGTATTTTTAGAAACGCGAGATTAATACAATGCTGGGTGATGTTATTAAACATATGACACCAGAGAGAGCCTTTGAGTACCACTACCCTCAGGTGAGTATTACCTTTGCTTTCAAATGATGCTTTAGACAAAACTGGGAAACAGTCTGCTTCTGTTTGGGCTTCCTGAGTATACAGGGAGTCCAACAATTGCCTCAGAATGTATTTACATCTTATAATAAAATTGTTTGTTTCTTTTTTTGTAGTTGCTTACTATAATTTCCAAGCTTCTCTCTCATTTGCATGACTTTTCTACCTTGTTTTCAATGGTAAGTTCTCAAACTACGAATAAAATATGCCTTTAGTACATTTTTAGAGCCGAACGGTTTGTAAACCTCAGTTCCTTCACGGTATTTTCTAGTTTACCAGTAGCACTGTCTATATGTCACGCTTTCCATGTCACGCTGTCTATATGTCACGCTTTCTCCTTACATCTTAACTCTGTTTTATAATGTTCATCGACAAACTTTCAAGATTTCGTGTTTTTTTTTTTTCACTCAACGTTCTCTTTGTAGTAGTTTGCCCGTCTTATTTTCACTTCCGGGTTTTTCTCCAGGTCAGCTCGTTTTCCTCCCTCCGTCAAAAACTAGCTGTGAGGAGTGTCGTGTTAGTAGTAAAATAATGAATGTTGAGGTAATGAGTATGAGTGAATATATAAAGGGCCACAAGTTTACTAGTCTAGAGACTAGTACGTGCTACCCTCTCAAAATAAAAGAGTTTATTTATTTACTTTTAACTTTGAACTAATTCTAGGACAAGTTTCTTCCATTCCTCGACATGTTTCAAAAGGAGTCAGTGAAAGTGGATGCTTACAAGATGATCATGGAAGCCTTCGTGAAGTACGTTTATAGAGAGTTTATTATGAGAGTTATATGAGTAAAATATTGATCATATTGGGCTTTGCGCGCGCTTCATGTCTCTTCAAATAAACTCAAATTGTTGTAAGAAAAATTTGCGACGTCTCTTCACTATCAATGTTTTTGTTAGGTACCAGCTCGAACCAACTACAGATCCTGTTGTCCAAAATTCCCTCATGTTTGTTTGTAAAACCCTGCACGATTCTGTGAAGTGAGTTAAATATACATGCTTATAATACAACATTGCTTACAATACAATAGTGCTTATAATACAATATTTCTTATAATACAATATTCATTGTCGAATGAATAAGTGGATGAATATAAACTGGATGAAAGTGGATAAAAAAAAAACAAATGGAGCAATGGGAAAATGGCAGGGCATGAATTAATTGGCGACTGAATGAACAAATAATAGAATTAATGAAAAATGCATGAATGAAACGAAGTGAGAATATATAAAAGAACGAAAACGAATGAAAAAATTGAAAATCAAATGAACGAAACAAATGAATTGAATAGAATGACGAGAGGATCAATTATTGAGAATATTGAGAGGAATACACGAATGGATGATGTCCAGTAATTTTGCTGATTCCTTTTAGTTGATGTCTCTAAATTACTTTGTTTGGTTTTTCTGTTCTTAAGTGCACTGACATTAGAAGATGAAAGACGAGTCATCGGAACACTTATTAGCGGATATTTACGAAAGGTAATAAAACAACCGCCTGAAGTCTACTCTCGTTATCACGGACACCTTAGGAACCTTGATAACGTGCCCGCATTAGCGAGTGTTCGCTGTAAAGGCGACATTTGACTGTTTCGACTTGGTATTGCATATATTTGACGATGGCAGAAGCACTGTCGAAAGAATAAATATAAGTGTCGAAAGAAAAATCAAAAGTGTCGTAATCTTTCACAAAGTTTTATGAATTTATATCTTTGTTTATCCACCTGAGTCATAATCGTTAATTTGTTATTCTAGATTGACTTTGGTCGTGATTTTGAGAAGCAACTCGATTTCTATGTTGATGCGCGTGCGTCATTTTCTAACTTGGACCCAGTCCTCGTCATGTTAGTCCAGAGAGTCAATTTACTGGCCCTACAGACAAGGGCTATCGTCAATGGTAACCATTCAAGGAAAACTGCTTCATTTGTGAGGGTACGTTCACTGTATCTGTTGACAAACTTTGACATTAAAACGCACGGTTAAGTACTACCGTTTTTGCCCCCATTTTTTAAATTTTTATTTAATTCACAATGTTATACAATATATTATTAGCATACATATAAATGCATCTCACGGCTGCTCGATTGAGTGATAACCAAACCTTCGTTGTTTTGTCATAAAATACGTGATTACTGCAATATTATGATATATACTATAAGACTACATAAAGATGAAAGCAGCTTTTTACATAACAAATAACTTGAGCTAGCTATTAGTTAACAAGAGCAGTAGCAATAAAAAATAGCAAAACCAAACAAACGTTTTTTGACGTCAAGGTCTTTCGTTTTTGTGTTGCTTTGACATCAGGCATCACTTTTTTTACTCAGCTCGAGAAATCTGCCTACCTCACATTGTGAAACTACATTTGATTGCCTTTAGTCAACCTTCCGAGTTTCTTAATTGGCAGTTTTCCTGTTTCTCGTTTCATTCTTAGTAATACTGAACAGTTACCATTAAAAGAGTCACTTTTCATAAGTTTGTGCAATGTATAATACTTCCCAGCAACGCTTGAGACAGTGCATGAATTACGGAAGTTAAAACAAAGAATTCTACTCCCAAGTTGTCTGAAATGATCTAACAATTACTCAATACAATTGCAATAAAGAAAGCAAGAAAGAGAGAGAGAAAGAGACAGGAAATCGGCCCTTCTAAAGGGAAATATACTGCTAAGAAACCAAAGAAAGCTGCGGAAACTCTCAGGAGGTTTTCTATGTGCAATCAAGTGTAGCTTTGCGAATATGAGACTTGCGAAATGAAAATCTAGGCAACAGTGACTCTTGATGACATTGAGTCTGCACAAAATGAAAGAACTTCAAAAACTCGACCAAGAAACCAAACACCAAGCTAACATTTTAGATTACTTATAGAAACTTTAGAAAGGTTCATCTATATATGTCATTGCTGGGAAATTCTATTTTAAATATACATTTTTGTGACGCATTTTACGATCCGACATGGACGTTGCGACAAAGTCATTACCCAGTCGAGTCTCGATCAATGAATACGAACAAAGTGGCGTTCTAATTGGCTACTTTGCCACTAGAATATCAGCTTATATCCCGTGTTTCAAGAGAAACTAAAATAGCGTCTATGAAAAATCTTGTAACTGGTGAATAAATACAGACTTAATATTGCATTTTGTACAAAACGATCGTTTTAAGGCGGTTCGGACGATTATATATGTATATATATATATATATACTACTTTGTTTCCCTCATGAACTTTCCCTACCACTAGATCATTAAGTTGAAAATGTTGTCATTCTAGACAATGAGTTTTCTATGTATTTTCGCCATTTTTGTTGTGGAAGTAATGTCTAATTTCCTCCCTTCGTATCAGACGATGTTTTTTCATTGCAATGGCAATTGTTTTATCGTTTGTCGTCGTCTTGTTGTAGGCTTGTGCATCGTATAGTTTTATCACTATTCCGTCAATTGTGGACATCTTCACCCGATTGCAATTGTACCTTTTTTCTGGTCAAGTCGCCATGTCCAACCAAGCTTTAAGTCAAGGTAAGATGTAGAACGTCATGTAACTTGTTTCTAGGTTTTGTTTCTTGTGTTGTAAATCTTTCGAACGGGCTGCCTTCAGTTCACATGTTATGCATTTGACATTATTTCAAAGAATATTGGTTCAATAGTTCCAATCGTTCATCTTCAGAATTGCTGTGACGTGTCTGTAAGCTCTTCGACTATAGCACTTTCTTGATTTGTGTTTGAGTTAGTGTTCCGTGAGAATATCAAAGGCGTTCGATTCGACAATCGCAAAGTGAAGGTGTAGTGGTGACAAGTAACTCGGATTTGTTCGCGACGTGTTGTTTGTGATCGCTTTGATTTGAAAAGTTCCCGAAGCTCTGTTTGATGCGAAGTCTTGTCGTGTATTCGCTTGTTGATGGGCGGTAACGGAAGAATCAACGGAGGGTCTACTTGCAGTGCGTTCGTGTTTTCCCTTGGTTACTCGATGGACGCTAAAGGAACTGCCTAAAGCGCTTGMAGCGCTGTTTGCAGTGTCTTCAATTTGATTGCTTTTCGAACTTGGAAACATTCCCGTTGTACTCAATGAGGACATAACACGTGCTGACATATTCCGTACTTCTAGCCTTAGTCTCGGTGTTTTGTACATCATGAATACGGGAGTGGTCACGGTGCYAAAGTAAGCCACGGCGATAAAAAGTCTTCTCAAAAAAGCGTCCATTTTTATGCTTAAGTCTAGTTTGACTACCATTCTTGAAATAGAAAAGGAAATGATGAAAAGATTCGGCAGGATGTATATGAAAATAGTGGAAATCAAGGCTCTTGTCGAAGGCATTGAAAGACCACTGGCGGGCCCATTTGAGATACTTGCCAGCTGCCTTTTTCGTCGTCGAAAAAAATTGACAATCTTAATGTTAATGTATGTCAAAGATATAGTTGGGAAGACATATATCGCGAATAAACTGACTAGTGACATGCTTCGGTAGAGGATAGTTGTGTTCTTGAGCCTGCACAGATATGTGAACGTATGGTCGTCAATGGAAATCTGTTGCCGGTTGAAAGTCGGCGCTGATAGAGAAGCAAGGCCAAGTCCCGAGACCCACGTCCCGATAATCCATTTGCGGGCTGTCGAAGTGGCTGGAATTCTCGTTGCGTGGAATACGCAAAAATAACTTTCTATTCCCAGTGCTAGGACATTGATTGATATCAAAGAAAGCGAAGCCAAAGTAGACCATGTAGTGATCTTACAGAATAGATCGCTGGAGTTAAAATCATAAAAAAACCCTGTGACATGTAATGATAGGTTTACCACACAGCAAGACAGGTTTGATACTGCAAGACTTTGCATAAGAACTCTGCCAGCTTTTCTCTTGAGTGTGCTTTTCAACTCTTCTTGCCTTCTTTGTCGTCTTTGCTTCATCACTAGGTAGAGCAGTAGGGCGTTCGCTAAAAATCCAACAACTACTATCGCGATCGAAAATATTGAGAGCCATTTCTGTAACTGTTTATCAAGAGGAAAGACATATGACCTCGTAATGTTTTCAGCTGTGRAATTCATCATTTTCAGCGTCGAAGAATTCGTTGACTTTCCACCTGGAGAACTAACTTTGGATGGAGGTTTGTTATGCTGAGGATCTTACTGTGAATTATGGCAATTTTCTGGTATTAACTTGATTAAAATCGAAATCTTGGAGTAGAATAGAGTTCTTCACATCAAAGAAGGCAAAGAAGAGATAACTTCGAGACCGACGATGACAACTGACAGTTTTCTCGTGTACGAAATGACAGAGCAAAGGGCAAAATCGATGGACCTTTTTTATAAAGCGACAATTCATCCACTTGTTCGACTTTTAAAAGACCTAGAGGTCATAGGAAGTCAATCAGCAAAAAAAAAGATCCTGTCTTGAACACCTGGAAGCAATTTATTTCTCAACCTTGTGCTTGTTCTATAGCCGATTTACGTTTTTTTTCGTGAACTCTGAACGTTATCCTAGATACAATTGATRCTGAAACACTCCCTTTTATAATTTAATTTGATTCTGACTGATCTTTCATACACAAACAACAAAACTGAATAGTTGTAGGGCGAATGTACGGTGATTAGAATTAATCTGCCAAGTTGACTTAGAGGTAGTATCTCTGTGGTTTTATATCCAACGAAGGCAAAAGTCCTTTACTAAATGGGGTAAAAAAAAGAACTCGCATATAGCAAATGGCTTTTTATTTGATAATTATTGCTCTAAAATCGTTATATTAATAAACTCATAAAAGAAAATTAACTGTATATGAAGATGAAGGCTTGCGATGTCCTTATGGTCTGATAAGGGAACTTTTATGTTTTTCTTTAATCAAGCTAGGACTTCAAACACAGCAAGCAAGCAAACAAACAAAAAATCTTATCAATGACTTAATTATGCTAGTTCCAGTGTATAATTACACAAGGTCAATTACTAGATCTAAGTTGATTAGGAGAACGTTGTCGTTGGTGCATAACCTGCTGGCGGAACCTGAATTTTCTCTCTATTCAACTACAGGTGATGCATTCTTCAAAGCAGCAATCAGTTTAATTCCAGAAGTGCCCAAAACTATAGGTTTGTATGAAACTTAATAACGAGAAATGAAATACTTTAATGAATAGAGAAGCTAAGAAATTACAGGGAAAAATTCCCCTTTAGTTTCCAATTCACTAGGTTTTCTTTGTTATTCATAGGGTTGTATATACCATAGAAACTTAAAGCCGGGGAGGGATTTGATATTCAGCAGGGAAATGTGGGGTTGATGAAGTGAATTGAATAGCTCGTTATAAATTCAGCGGGCTATATATGAGTGACCGGAATCACTCACATATAGCCCACTGAATTTATAACGAGTTATTCAATTCAATTCATCAACCCCACATTTCCCTGCTGAACATCAAATAAACTAAGTAAACTAAACTATTTTTCCCCTAAAAAAGACCAGTTCGGCCAGCAAAACTTGAGGAGATTTAGAGTGTAATAAGTTCGAGTCCCGCAGCTTTTCTTCATATGTTCATCAGAGAATAGAGACAACAATAACCAAGATCTTCGCCGTTATAACTTTTAAAAGAATCTATTCTTCGGAATTAATTATTAAATTATTCAGTTTTTGCGAAAACCACGTGAATTGAAAACTAAGTTTGTTAGTTACCTCGCACGTCGGCATTACGCTATATACAGCGTATATACGCTATATAGCGTAATGCCTCCGTTCTCGGTAACTAACTCTTACTCCTCAGCAACGTGGGGGACTGGGTGCTAGCCCCTTAATTCGCACGATGGTGAGATAATACTTATATAGAACGAAAGAACATATTGACAAATACTAACTGTCTGAATTTGGCGTCGATCAGGTCAATATTAAACGATTTACAGCCTTTCAAAAATGCTAGAATTTCCGAATGAAATGTATAGAATGCCGGACGCTGCGTCCGGATTTTTCGAAATATTCCCATTTTCTTCGTAAAATCTAGAATTTTTGAAAAGCTGCCAATCGTTTACATTTGATCCGATTAACACCAAACTTTGTGAGTTTCTTATTTACAGTGCCAACTTTCGTTCCATATAAGTCTTATCTCGCCATCGTGCGAATTAAGGGACATGTGCCCAGTCTGCCACGGTATGAAATCGGTCGGGCAATTGCAGCTGTTTCGACATTAGTATCACAATTATAGTACTGCTGTTAATTGATTGGAATTTTTTCCCCTTTTTGCAGAAGTGGACTACAAGGTCAAGGCTTCAGAACCGTTTCTTCTCAACTTCTTAAACGAATTTTTGTCGACCCTACTTGTTGTTCCGGTGAGTTCGCCCAATAAGTGCATATTTACATGTAACAGAGCGCAAACTCTAGAACCGTGAAAAATTTTAGTTGGACAAAATATTAGTTGGGCAAAAAATGTCAGCTTGTAGTCCACGAGGCCGAGAGATCGAATTGTTTTAGTATTACCATACTAGTTGGACAAAAAATGAATGAAATATATAAATAACTAAATGTTTTATTTCTAAAGATACGCAAAATTTGCGCTTTTCGCCTGTCGAAGACTATTGAAAATAGACMCCGAGTAGCGTAGCCAATCAGAACGAAGGATTTGCAATAGTCCACTAGTATGGTAATACTAAATTGCACTATTTGGTTACTACTTTTTCACGCGTTTAGTGGTTGAACTGCATGCCTTAAGATATTTTGCTTGAAATTTTCATAGTACGGGCGTTATGATTGACTGATTTCCCGTACTTCATTAGCCAATCAAACCTCGGCTTACATCGCTCTCTATTATTTTCTGTGTTTTATTTGTGTGTCATTTCTCACTACCAAATACAATTAAAAAGTCCTTGACAATCTAGTGGTATAGAAAACGCTGGTTATAAAGAACTGAACGCTTTTAGATGCAAATTATCCCTGACAAAACTCTGGTGTTGATTAAGTAATTTCATTTTGGAATTTCTTAATTCGGAAATTTAAACCAATTAAAAGTGTCTAATTATTTTTACGTGAAATCTGCACCCTTTTGATCAGCCATTCTTCCTTATGATAATAATTTACTCAGTTCTCTTGCAGTAAATTAAACAGAAGAGGTATAAAAATTGATATTTACAGTATTCAAATCGAGCTACATATGTATATAAGAAAAATATTATGTCATATTTAGTGAAATATTAAAGATTAGTTAAATATTTAAACATGAAAAAGTCCTCCGATCTTTTAGTTTTGCATTTAGCATTGTCATTAAATATGTAGATATTGTCTTCCTTATATTTTAAGGGCAATCTGGGCTGACTCTCCTTGACATAATCCACTCATTTTTCTTTCATCTGTTTTTCTCTTCACACAAACTCAGGATTCTCCTGATCAAGGCGTACTATACTTAACTCGTGGATTGTTGAACGTTATTCAAGAATACACGTGGGAAATGAACAGCGATGCAAAGATGACGTTATATCTGAATGCAGTCGGGCTTTTATCAGCCATGTGCCAGGTAACAACTGAACGTATCTCTGTTGATTTGTGTATTCAGCATTGCTTGTTGGTTTGTTAGTCAGTTGGAAGGTCTTTGGTGGGTTAATATGTTCAAAATTTGATGATTGGTTGGTTTGACGGTTGGTTGGTTGGAGTTTGGAGTTCGGTTCGATATGGTCGGTCTGTTTGTTGTTCGTGTCCTTGTAGTGTGTTGGGTCGGTGGTCAATCAAGCTCTTTAGTATGAGTAATTTGTTAGTTAATGTATCGGTGGATGGTTTGGTCAATTGGATGGCTGGAGGTCGGTCAGTTTGGTTCGATGATCGGTCTGTTTGTTGTTCGTCTTTGTAGTTTGTTGAATCGCTGGCTGGTACATTGATTCGATGGTTTTTTCGTCGACTGTTTTGCTTTCGTTTTGTCATGCACTTTTTCACATACAATTTAATTATTTTAGGAAAATTTCCTTTATCACATTGACAAAGGTACGTGAGTGTCTTTAAGTGAGAAGACCTCTTTTCTTTCTCTGTATTTCTGTTTTGCTAACCTAATTGTGATTATATTGATTGCTTAAATGATTGATTACATTTTTTACCCACCCTCCCTTCCCCCAACATTTCCGTTTGATAAACCTCAGGTTCGCTGACGCTCTATGTTTGTTGATAGTTGATTCGAACGATAAGCTGTATGGCTGTGATGTGAAATTCATAACAGAAGTATGTAAGATTGTCAGTACGTTGATCCAGACTGTCTTCGATCACCTAAAGACATTAACATCACACGAGGTATAGTATAGAATTTAGCTTCGCTCTCCGGATACTTTTTTTTTATTGTGACAGAGAGTAGCCTGGGAACAGAACTATTAGAGGAGCACTATAACTTCTGATGATTTTTATATTAGTTTTATTGATGTAGCAGTACGGGAATTCTAATTGGCTGTTAAGCTATGTCTTGGCTACCTATCAAACCGTCGCTAAGATTTATCCTATGTGCGCGCACGTCATAATTTCCCGCCTTTTTTGACATCTAAGGAGGTTTTTTCTCTGGGCTCAAAGAAGTTTTATCTTAAGTGTTAAAATCGTTCAAAACTGATATCTAACGACATTAAATTACATAAAATGTAATTTACGATATAAGACAAGAAAAATATTGAAATTATCGTACGTATTTTTTCTTGAGGGTTGTGTTGTCATATTTTACTTTTGAATGCAAAGCTTAGTTTGTGAAAATAAATAGAACAATGTTGTTTGTAGACTTTGTTGATATAGTATTTCGATTCATTAATGATTTATGCGGTATTTCAGGGTCTAAAGCGACAAGCTGCCATTGCTCTTGGGTTTTTTAATAGAATATTATGCCATGCAGACCTGAGTAATTCAGACGTAGCGACGTTGGCTATAAACTTATGGAATCTTGCGCAGAAACATGGCTTTGGAGGAACAAAATACATGGTAGATAGGATTTTATTTAAGTATAAATGTTACGTAGTTATTTATTTATTCATTCATTTTATTTTTTATGTTGCTTTCTTTGTTTCTTTTTTTAAATTTTTGTGTTTGTTCAATTCATATTCACTTTTATATATTGAWATTTAATTTCCCTCTTTTCTCTCCCCTCCCTCCCCTCCCTCCCTCTTTATTTCCTCCATTTTGTTTCCTCACCGTTCATGTAAACAAACACAAAAAAGGATTTTTTTATTATTTTTTTCTCCGAGGTTCGTACTYTGGATTATGTACAAAACAAAGGGAATTCAGGATTACCGGAGTTCGCAGAACTATCAAAGAAGATGCATTTGCAAACGAGAACTTAGAGCTGTCATCCGATCAGACATCAATGGAAAGCAACGTATTGAGTGGTATTGTCATTATTACTTCAAAATTATGAATAGAATCGACTTTAATCCTATAAGCTATAAAAGAAGGCAATTGGTTCGTCTTTGTCTGTAGAAATATTAAATGAAAAACACTGCAAAGTTCTACGGTGTGACGAAACATGGGAAGAAAATTAAGCTTGCCTTCTACGCAGCCAGTCGTTGGTTACATAAGGCTTATAAGGCTAAAACAACTTAACAGAATATTTTCCCTTCTTACAGTACATAAAGAATAAACATATCCCCTAAATGTGAAAGTTATAGCGATATTTTATTGTAAATGAGACAAATATCAATAAAGTTTGTAAGAAAAGTAACAAAATTTTCGATTATTCGGCGCAAAAAATATGATATACCAAATCCAGTTTGCATTCCCCCATAGAATGTTCATCTCCATAGCAAGAGCAAAAAACTTTCGAACAACTTCGCAGTAAATGTAAACAAATTTAGTATAATTGTTTAATGAAAATATAAAATGAAACTATTGCTAGTTTTATTCCTATTTGAAATTCTCATTTCCGTAGCATTGTCATCGAGTATCTTTTTTTCTTTTTTTGCTTTGAGGATTTTGTTATTCAAAAGAAATATAAAGTCTGGAGTTATCGTAAATATAGAAACAAGAGCAAAGAAAGTAATAAAAGATTGCCTAAAGACGTTTGACTTATTAGAGTGGTTTTCATCCGTCTGTGAAACAATTACTACTAGTCAGTGTTTATAGTAACTATTAGGGTGTAGTAGGCTACCAAAAGGCAAAATTAAAACCGTTTTTGCCTAATTTGTTTGTCGTGTGTCATAATTTAAACTATTGTGTGTTAATAGGGGGTAATAATATTTCTCTTTCACAGACGGATGAAAATGACTCTATTTAAAAGGTTTCTAGTCAAATGGACACTTTAAGGGAATAGAGTGAGTCGACATTGAACGCCATTTTGAAATCTTTGATTCCCATTCTTCAAGAGCATTTTATACTATTATTATTAAACCCAAAAAGCAACAAACGATATCATTACTAAATAGAAAATAGCAGAGACGACAGTTTCTCTAAATAATATATTCTAAAGTGTTTACAATTCATAATTCTCATTCTAAATTTCGATTACCATGCCAACCCCGCCTAGATAAACAAATACAAACTATTAAACATTAATGAGAATTTGACCCAGTCTAATGATTTCTAGCTGTGAATACAGACTGATTTCTTATTACAGATTTGGCGGTAAAAAATATTTCATAAGCAATTTTACCATGAAATTTTGACGCTTGATATGAATTTTAATAATTTCTATATTTTCTTCTCAGTGTTTGTTAGTTGTTTTGGTGTTTTGCGCTCGTTGCGGGAGTCACAAAAATCAGTTTGGGTGTGATTGCGTCGGCATTTCATGTTTTAATTTGTAGGTCATTTTATCTTGCGAAGGTATCTCAATTTTAAACAAGATCAGATATTGCGATGAAGTTAAAAAGTTCAAGATTTTGTGATGACTTCTGAAGCTCGATTCTTAAACATTTGATTTGCAGAATTTTCTCATGGCAAAGGCTATTCAAATTGATGACTAAGTTTACAAGATTTATTAGAAACTTATAATAGTTTTATAGACTTTGGGGGGCAAATTAGTTAAAATATCTAGTTCAATTGCACAGGCATACTATATGTAGGCTAAAATTTTGATTTGAATATTATTAGGAAACCAATGTTGGGCAGGCATTGGAGCACTTTTCCTTTCAWTCTTCCTTGCAATGGTTTGAGCACGAATCTTGCATATCTAAGGCCAATGACTAGCATAGTCTTGTTTTRGAAAAAGTTATTTTTCGAGCTGCACGGCATGGTTCCTTCCCTCACGGTGAGAAAGTTCTCCCAGGTCGCGCATTCTTTGAMACTTGTCGAACTTYTCTTCACTGAATTTTTGCTTTTTTCTATATCGTGTTGAGATGAAAACCGAGCACAGAATCGCGATGGAAAGGGCTAACTAAAACCAATGGAGCATGCCGATAAAGTCAACATATTTTTTGCGAAAACTATTTGTTTTCATTCCTTGTTGGGATTTTCATTGCTATAGCAAAGTCGTCGCGGTACCAATTTCAATCATGTTCAATGAGAGAGAAAGAAAGCCGGGATTAGAGTGCAATGATTATGAGTGCAACAAAGTAGTGCAAAACTTAGTTTGTGATTCTCTCTTGTTGCTATAAACACAAATTACGAGCAGTTTCAGTAGTTAGTTTTAGAGGTATCAATTAAGGATTCACTAAAATTACTAAATCTGATTTAATTTTTTTAATCTGAGAATTTCAAACATAAAGAACGTATCAACCATTTGCAATTCGCTTAAAAAGTGTCGTACAATAGCTCTTTGGCTGGCTTAAAGCGAACTCGGGATTACACTATTGACTAGAACTGAGAAAGATGGTGTACTACCAACGAATTCAGGTTTTTATTCATCAGATTTTAAAATTTAAAAATTAAATTAAAATTTAAAAATGTCTGACTACGACTGAGCTATAGTGAAAAGATAGAGCGCTGAGCGACAGTCAAGATCTAAAAACCTTAACGGTCCATTTTATAAGGGCAATACGACAGAATACATATGGATATTTTACATAACTGGGYAGAAGTRGCTAACATTTTGYASTTTGGTACCTAGAGAAGCTTCGCCGCCATCTTGGAAATTTGGGCACACCTTTGACAAGATGGAGACAAAAAAATAAGAATTTGATGTTTTTTGAAATCTTTAAACTTATTCTTTTCATTCGAAATTGTTCTGAAAAGTTGATGAACAATTTCAACTATGTTTTCTAGCTGTAGAACTTCTTGGAAATCAGATAATGTAATTACCCAAAAGGCATTTTATATGACATGGTATTATGAAAAATTATCAACGAATTAGACGCGAAGAAATTCACTGTGAATGGAATAAGTTGTTTTCATTCTATGTTGGAATTTCCATTGCCATAGCAAGATCGGCCTCTGCGGTGGRCAATTTCCTAATCTAGTTTTGCACAATAAAGGGGAATAGAAAATGGATTGTTTTTACTCGATAAATATAAATCAGCCACAAATAAATATTATTTTCATTCCTTTTTGGAATTCCCATTGCCATAGCAGCAGCTATGGTATAAAGGTAGCTGTACATCTTCGTGGTCTAGCACTTCATTCTCTGTGCACCAGCGTATCTGTCTGATCACTTTGTTTTGCACAAGCCAGCCGAATACAGCCGTCATATGTATCTGCAGTTTGGTACACTCTTCTTGGTCGTTAGTACCTTGACTAGTGCAGCCAGTCCAAATCCTAGTGCGATTGATACGGGATGTTCTGTCGATTTTGACAGAATTGTAGAAGATATCAATGGGAGAAAGATTGATTGTGGAAGAYTGTATCCATGGCACCAAGTTAGCGGTTCCCTCGTTCCCAAAATCCAATATACAATGGCTTTGAAGGTAAATTTTCAAATTTTTTATATAAAAGTTTTGCTTATAAACAAGGAGGCAGTGCCGACCTTTAATGGCATCTTATGTGTTGCATTGTGTGCTGTATTTGAAAATTAACCAAATTTACCAATGTCTACGCTATATATTGTAATAGTTTTTATAGATCAGGTTTGCGGATGCCAGTAAATGAATCGTTTTCTTTTCAAGTCTTTTTCTGAATGTCGACATGAAATTTGCCGCACAGCCTCTATTTCTGCCAGCTTTCTCGGATGGCTTGATCGAAAATTATACTAAAATTAAGACTCAGTTTTTATGTTACTGGAGCCAAAAGAGTTAAAACCAGACGTTAAAATCATTTTAGGACAAGAAGTACACTGTAGCCATGATCGATCCTGACGCACCATCTGGCTGCGCACCGATGATGAGAAGCTTTCTACACTACTTGGCTGTGAATGTTAAGGTAAAACTACAATGATAGGGACCCACTTTCAGTTTCTGTATACTCTGCAATTAATATCCAGTGGGATCAATCCTGAAAAATATAATTTGAGCGCTAAGAATTGTGATCAATTGCTCCCCAATAATTTCCAAGAATTCGTGAAATATCAGATTTTAATTACTGAGAACTTTTAATGGAAAGTTTCTGAAAAGACGAAACAAATAAAAGTTGTGCTCCTTAAAGTATACCTTAATCTTCAGGAACGGATCCAGAATATTGAAACGAGGCTTCCACGGGTTCTTCGAGAGCGAAGACGCCATCTTGATATTTGTATATATTTTGATATCCCTTATTTATTAGAATATTAGATTAAACCAAACATAATTTTAAATTTTTTAATGTATACATATTTTGTTTTTTTTAATCATTTGCGCAGGGGAGTGTTTTAAGGAAATTGGTCAGTCTCACTAGTCCTAAAATGTCCCCAAGAGTATGTAAGTACAAGTTGATATACGCTGTAATGCCGATGTATTTGAAAACGACATTATAAACCCYCAAATCGCCCTATAATGATGTCAGTGTTTATGGGAGGGACACTCAAGAGTCTTCCGATATTTCTTCTTCGAAAGTTGAACTTCAAATTGCATACTAATGTTGCATACAAATATCAGTCAATTGAAACCATTTACATTGTCAGCAATATTTCGGGAAGGGGGGGAGGGGTGTTCAAGAGTTTCATTTAAGTTGATATATATTTTCATCTGCAGCGTACATGCCGCCTGGTCCTCCACGYTATAGCGGTCTACATCGGTACATAATTTATGTAATGCAACAGCGCGATGGCAAACGTATTGCTCCTAAGCTTGGCAAAAGGTCGTCGGAAAATTTTGATATTAAGGGTATCAAAAAGCAAATGAAGGCAATGATCAAAACCGGCAATCCTGTTGTGAAGAGGATACGCTTCGATATTGATAAATTTGYCAAAAAATATAAGCTCAGCATTGTGGGTTCCAATATGTTTATAACAATGTGGGAGAATCAGAATTAAAGGTAGACAGTGGTGCCCTAATGTACCTTGAGCTGATATAAAATGGCATTAYTTACGATAAATAGTATTGTAGAATAGCTGATTACTGTCATTGAAAAATAAAGGCTTTACTGAAGAACTGGCTGATGATAATTGTTTTCGTCTTGCGAAGCGAAAAAATAACTCAAAGAATTGGAGGGGAGGGGAGGGGAGGGGCTGTTTCGTAGGTACATGTACCTCCGAGGGACGAACGAGGAGGGTATTTTGGCAGCCGGTACGGGGGGTGCTGGACTGGACTCTTATTGGGAAGCTCAGGCGGGAACGCGGTTGAGAATGAAGTTGTGGTGAAAAGTGTGTGTTTTATCTTTATTTTTATTTATTTATTTTTTGTTTCATTTTTTTTCTTGTCCCTCTATTTCTATCTTTCTCTTTGTTTTATCACTGTTTGTTTCTTTGGTTTTCTTTTTTTTTGGTTGCATGAACAAAAAAGACAAAAAAAAAAAAACAACAAAAAACACTAGTCTACAATCACCAACAATAACAAACTAAATATATGAAACCTTGCGTTCCGCTCTCAGGAGTTTCTGTTGCCATAGCAAGAACACTGACCGAAAGTATCGAGTGTTCATCTGCAGGACGTTGTTCCGTGTTGTTTCGAGCGAAATCATGATGGACAAGAGACGAAAACCATACACTATTGTACAGTTTGCAGGTTTCTTTGTAGTGCTTTTTAGCATTACCAGTGGTAACGATGCAGCTGGACTTATAGATAAAGGTTGTTCTAGCGAGTTTAGCAGACTCGATGTTCGAATCGACGGRCAAGCGATCGTTTGTGGAAATGTTTATTCGTTGGAAAAAGTTGGCGGTTCGCACATTCCCGAAATCCAATTCTCTTCGGCTTCGAATGTGAGTTTTAGTTTTTGTAAATGTATAGGCTTGTGTTGTTTTATGGTAAAGGGTAATCGTTGTGTATTTAGTAAATTATGTTATTTTTTCGACGTGGTTTTTGAATAATTCATGAATTAAAAAAACACAGGTAACCCAAGCTGTTTTTTTTACAGAAAATATATGAAATATTTCTGCTTAAAAAAGAATTAAAAGAAAATCCATTTCCTAATTTTTTGCAAGTTGTGTTTAAATGAATTTCTGATAGGATGAATTATARTAACATAACAATAACATAACAATGTTGGGTTGCCTGTGACAAGGCAGTGGAACAATCCAATACAGTTTTGAGATTGTACTTTTCTTGTAGACCAAAAAGTACACTGTGGTTATGATAGACCCAGATGCCCCTTCAAATTCTCGKCCAACTCAAAGAAGCTGGCTACACTACTTGGCAGTCAATATTGAGGTAAGCTTATAGGGTTCTATAATTATAGAAGTTGTTTATATACACTGATGCGAGAGAGGTGGAGAAGCTGGACRGAGACCTTATGCACCACTGGGTGCGAAGTGGTTCGGTAACAGTAATCCGTTACAGTAAGTTTAAACAATGGAATGTTACCTTTGAATAGATATCTACCATGATATCATATCCCCATATTATATTGTGAATAGCTTCATTTTGATGACACAAGGAACCGCGAAGGAAACTATTTGCCAGATATCCAGATAATATATCTGTAATATAATGGTGTTAAATGGTGTTTTTCTAATTCATATATTTAGGGAAGTGATATCCAGAATTTTGTCAGCCTGTCTGATTCATTATCCTCAACCGTAGGCAAGTATAGATTTATTGGTGGTTTACAATTAAAGCAACAGTTAATTAATCCTTTGTGGAGCTGATATCCAAAGCCTTAAATCCATCACTTACAGCTACTAAAAATAAAACAGGAA